GATCTGATGACATCACATAACACTCTCTCTCTCTCTCTCTCTCTGCATGTGCTTTTCTCTTTTCACCATTTTTACTGATAGACACAATAACAGAAAAAGTAAGGGGAGAGAAGATGCAGGCCAGACTAAAACCCAGTTCTCCCATAAGCGTAAAAAGTCAAAAATTCACTTATTCACTTTCACTTATTTCCTTTTGTAACTTTGTAAAAAAAAAAAAAGTTTGAACATGACTGACCAATTATGCACTTTGGAAACGTAGGTGTGAGGAATGAAAAACTCTGTGCCAGTTGTTGTAGAATAAACCATCAACATGTCATCATCTCTGCAACAGAAGCAAACCCATTACAACCCCTGCATTCACTGTAGCTAACACTTACATACTTTTGTCTAGAAATAATCTTTACTTACTCTGACATAATGTTCAGTCTGTCTCCTAAAAATATAGTGTGTTCATCAGACCTGTTGGGTGGAAAGTTACACAAGGCCACTGCCATGCGCATGTGATTTCCTGATGCTAAAGTACAACAGACACCGGTGAGGGCTAATTATACACAAACTAGATGTGAATGTGTTATTTATTTGCAATCTAACAACATTAATGATAAATTATAAAAAAAAGCGGTTTGTATATGTTAGTTTAATTGCATAATCATGTCCATACATTCATCAGACATCAAGACGGGGTCCTCCAGTCTGTGAACAGAAGATCGACGCCAGGGTCTGCTTGTTAGACAACCCATGTTTATTTCAGGACCAAGGTTCTTGAATACAAGCTAAACCATAAAGAAACAACACATACCTTCTGGAAAGCAAACTACAAAAAACAAATAATAATCTAATAATCATATGCAAGCAGCGATGGCGGGCCCAAGCCGTTAGTGCAAACGCCACCCCGGTGGCATCAGGAGAACGGTGCACAGTGGGCATATGCATTTACAGTAACCCTCTGCCAGTCTGGTTTTAAACAACTTTTATAACACTTTTCAATAAGGTTTTAGTTTTTAACATTATATAAGTTAACATGCACAATATTTATATAGTATTTATGAATCTTAGTTAATATTATGTTGAAAATTGACCACAACATTATTAATTAAAATGTATAGTTAATGTACATCAGTTACTGTACCATGAACTAACAAACAATTTTTTAATAACAAATACAGTAAAAATATGTTGTTCATACTTAGTTTGTTAGTTGTGAATTAACTAATGTTAAAAACTATATTAAACTATATTAGTTAACATGAACATCAATTATGTAGCATTTATTAATGTTAATTAATGTTAAGTTAAAAATGTTTTAATACATTATTAAAATGTAAAGTTGTATCTTAACATTAGTTTATGTACTGTGAATTAACATGAACATGAATATTTAATGTTAGTTTTCGAGATATCAAAAATCCCTTGGCAATTTAGCATCCCCCATATCTTGAGATCATGTTCAACGAGTTTGGTGGCAATCGGTTGGAAATCCTCATAGGAGTATATCAAATTCCAGAGCATGCACTTTTCACAAAACCTTAAATAGCCAACTTCCTGTTGGGCAGAGCACTGACGGTCAGCATGAAAGTTGTTCGGCCTGATGAGACATATATGTGTATGAATTTTGGTGAGTGTAGATCAAGCAGTGCGTGCTACAGCGCTCCTGAAAAGTCGCCTTATTAAAGGCTGTGCCACACACCCCCGGTAACCCCCCCATCTGAAACTCAGACCAGCCCTGATGGCCGCAGATTCCAACATGTGTGCAATGTTTCAAGAGTTTTCGAGTATGTTAAGGGCCCCAAAACCCCCAAAAACCTTGAAAGAAAAAAAATAAAAATAATAATAATCCTTAGAAAAACAATAGGGCCTGCGCCTTACCGGCTTGGGCCCTAATTATAATAAAAGAATACAATAAAATAAAAATAAATAAAATAAATAAAAAACCAAGCCACATATCCAAGCAAGACTAGAAAACAATACACATCATAGCAGAAAATTAACTAAATAATACAAATGAAGAATGAAAAATAGAATAAATTAAAAATAAAATCAAAGTAAAATAATAAATAAAACTTTCTTCTATAAAACATTTAAATATTAATAACTAAAATAAAACATCTTACTCAAGGAGATCCTAAACATTTAACTAGTCCAGAGTTACACAAACAAATACTTACCATACTGTTTATTCCGTTTCAACTCTGTGTGCAAATATGCTGAAATGATGATTTTCTTGGCCAACAATATGCAGTAGGCCATATAAAAGAGCATCCACTATAGAGATCCCAGCACTAGAGAATGCACAACAGTGTTGATGCGACCTTCATCCTCTGTTGTGCGTGTGAATTGACGTGTGTGATCTCTTGAGTAGGAGTTGTGGTGAACAAACCAATATGCAAATGAAATTTCCTGTGCTATTAGACTTTTCAAAATCCATAATCGTTCTACAGTCAGAAGTAAACTCTATAAAGGGACAAAGTGTGCAAGATGCAGTTCATTCAATTAAAATAAATTTCATGGAATGGATTTAGATTTATAGACTGTACATACAAAGACAATTTTGTGTGTATGCGATAAATTGGAGCTTCTAATGTTTTCTTGGCACTGTAATGTGCACCTTTCATTATTTTAAGTGGTTGCTAAAAATAGTCTAACCACAACCTGAGGATAAGGTTTGCTCGATGTGAGTGTCAAAAAAGTACATTTGTGGTCGGAAACTTTGCGACTCGACAATCTTTCATCTCCTTTACCGTTGAGAATCTCTTTCTTCAGTGATTCTGAAAATAATCGTACTATTTTGAAAGCAAAAGTAAAGCAGTTATAAACGTTTAGTATTTAAAGGGGGGAAAAACTGCACGAACAGTCTTATTTTCCATGATCTAACTTTATTTAGTAATTGAGAATCAGTGGACAGTGACTTTGTCAGACACTATTTCATACTCGTATTCATGTCTGTGAAAGCTGTCATTTCATGTGTACATCAATTTATGTTTTGATTAAGAATAATTATGTTAAAAATGGTAAGGGAGTAAATATACAAAAGAAAAACATGATTTAAGTCATACTAAGTCCTTGCTACTTTTGTTTTGCATATTTAAAAGAGCGATGGCCTAATGTAAGCATTAGAGTAAAAGAAACAAATATTAAAATGAAAATAAAGAATGATATTCCACTTCTTTCAAAGTCTTCAAAAGCATTTATCACCTAATAGCTGACGGCTTTTAATATAACCTATCAGAGTTTTTTAATATAAATACACCAAAAGTCAGTTCTTAAACATTCATAGGATGAACAGAAAAGTGGATTCAATGACAGAACACGACAGGCATTTAAAACACAGTTAAACAATATCACACAGTGTAGCAAGATAAGAGCACAGGAGAGGTCACAGGTCACACCATAAAACAAAAACAAAAATTTTGATGCATGTGTTTTTCATTTACGTGAGAGTGGAACCATTTCAGTCTAACGATCAAAAATGAGGGGGAACGTAATGCTAACAAATATTTAAAAAAAAAGCTTGGTGGAAGACCTTTCATGTGTAAATATATATTAGTCTTTTGCTTTTATGACTTAAAATTTTACTAGTGTATATTAACATGTATATATTCAATATGCATACCTTCAATATGTCATACATTTCATTCAAGCCTCCCCTGCCTCACTATTAAAGGCTTTAGAAACACGTGGGAATCTGACACGAACAACAGGAGGTGAGGGGTGAAACGACAGACAGCACACAGCAGATTCTGAGCCTCGGGCTTTAGCAGGACACCTCCATCGTTTGTGGCCTGGCCTGGTTGTCCAGGACTCCAGAGTTGGGCCCGTCCAGAGGGCTGTTCAGGTTGCGGTTGCGTGAGCCGTCCGTGGATGTGATGCTGGACGAGGAGGATCGGGACCGAGACAGACGGGTCATGCCAGCCGCTGGTACTGTGAGATGAGAATGTGATTATTGCAGTCTTCAGTATAATCAGGGGCGGCAAGCAAAACGAAAGAACAAGCATCATGCAAGAGGAAACCAAACCGAGAATGTAATAATAGATAATCACAAGTTCGTCTCGTGTCTGCTTACACAGAGTATAAATGTGCACACAGAAGCATTTCTGACAAAATTTAGACCTACCAAACAAAAAGCAAAGACACATACATGCTTAAATAAAAAACAACACATACCTTTCGGAAAACATGTCAAATAAACTGCAAAAAAAATTATTAATAATAAAAGAAAAAAAGTAAAAAAAAAAAAAATCTGAAATAAATGATAAAGTCTGATATAAATTAAAAATAAAATAAAAAAGTAAAGCCAATAGCATTTAAAAGTAATATTTAAAAACTAAAACTTTTTAATAAAACTTTCAGAAATTAAGAAATAATTAAAACAAGGTCTACATATCGTATAAAATGTCTGCTGAAACTTTTTAGTAATTGTAGTGACAGACCGATATGTTGACCTGGCCATGTAACAGTGGCATTGTATCACTATATAGGCTAGTTTTAAAATCGAACAACAGCTTCTTTAAATGTAAAATAGGCATATGTCTTTTAACTGAAATTGTGTTTTAAACAAAAAATAATATTTTCATTAAAAATAAAAGTGTATCAGATATTTACCACCCAACTTTCTAGATATCGGCAAAGGCCACTGAAAAACCCATATCGGTCGAGCACTAAATATTACCATGTCAAATATCTACATGCGAATATGTCTAAACACAATCACAGGTGAGCCGTGCAAGCATGTATACATCAGTCAAATCACATCACGTGTACCTGATTCACTGCTCAGACGGCTGAGCAAAACATGAGGAACTGTTTGCAAAAGTTGAAGGGAAACGGAGAGAAAAATAAGATCTCTGTACAGCACAGATTTTGGTATTTCATGGAAATGCTTTCAGTGAAAACAGGTCAGATACTGTTCAGATACTGACTGTGGTCAGGGACGTCTGTGGTTTAAAATGTAACCCTGCAAGTTACGACCTCGACCCTACCAATGGCAGCTGTAATTCTTGTATGTGTCTACAGCTATGTTTTACTGGCTTCTCTGCAGGGTCTAAAAATGGCAAATCTTTTCCTGCCTTGACATTTAACCACCTGAGCCTCATGCTGCATTTATGGCTCTTCACCAATAGAGGGAATCAAGAAGCAAAAAACATGCTCTTATATATCCTCAGATGATTATGAATATTTTTGGCACCTAAGCTAATTAAAGAGGCCATATAAATGTCTATTTATTTTTTCCCCTGAGATTCACAATGAAGTCCTAATTAGGTTCTTCATAACCTTTATCAAGCTTCACTCTAACTTTTAATCCTCTTTTCTTTGTCTGGGACCTCCAGATATGACTGTCGCGCCCTAGTGGGGGTCATGATGAACTTTCAATTTATATATATATATATATATACTGTATATATGGGGTGTTTCCTCCGATAATCCTCTTTTCTTTGTCTGGGACCTCCAGATATGACTGTCGCGCCCTAGTGGGGGTCATGATGAACTTTCAATTTATATATATATATATATATATACTGTATATATGGGGTGTTTCCTCCGAGGGGGCAGGGGAGGAAGTGCCTCCTCAAAATATTAGAGAAAATTTTTATAAATTTATCTCACATGTGACTTGCATAAACACAGTCTGGTACACTTTGCAGTATTGCCTTCTGAAAGCGCACCGAACCAAGAAGAAAATGCAAAATTGTAACAAATTAAAGTCCCTGTTTTGGAACAAAGCAAACAATCTACAGGTCTGAAA